TTAAAAGGTGGCACAGCTTCTGCAGCCCTACAGGAATTCTAAATATTCATGGGCGGTGGTTATCACTTAACAGGCGAACCGTCAGCTCGCTTGCTATCTTCTCACATAAAAATACACTCCTCTATCAAAGCGGTAGACAGACCTAATAGGTTTTTCACTCTCCATGATCCGCGCGAACATTTTGCTTTATCACAATCCAATGTGGCGACAAGTAGGTATATAACGTTAAACATAACGTTACCATTGACTACTACTACGCATTCAGACTTTATCACCAAAACCACAACAAATTGACCACTATCAGTTCGGTCACGAAGTAAAACACAAAGGCACCTCGAGGCTTTTGCGTCGAATTGCGTTGTTAAGAACAAGGTCAATGATAAAACTATGGAATGGGTTTGATTTTTTTTATTTTCCCTGAATGGCCCCCTGCCTCACTCTATGGTGCAACTTATCCAGGGAAATACATAGAAAGAAATATGACATTGCTGGCTTAACTCCTTTAAGTTGTTGTTGACTAAGATGCGACGAAGGATTCCGTACCATTATCTACTAAAACGGCAAAAAAACGTGTCTTTTTTATGGGAGCCCCACTTAAATATTTTTTTATTCTGTTTTTTAGTATTTGTTGTTATAGCGGCAACAGAAATATTCTGTGAAAATTTCAACTGTCTAACTATCACGGTTCATGAGATACAGTCTGGTAACAGATGGACAGACAGACTGATAGCGTAGTCTTAGAAATAGGGTCCCGTTTTACACTTTGAGTACGGAACCCCAAAAATCGATTGATTTTTGTCGACCGTACGTAATGTTGTTTTATTTCCAGACTTTATTAATATTCTACTGTATCTATGACCATTAGTACAACCTTGTATTGTGTTTATTCTATTCTTCTCCAATTTTATCTATGATATTGTGACTACAAATATTATTATAAATTCATGAATCTATGATGCATTATCGTTTTCTTCATTGTAAATCTATAAATGTGGACCCGTATAAAGAACTTTAAACGCTACGAAAGATGTACATCGTTTACAAACCAGTCACTCAAGTGTAATTCCTATCCTAATAAGTTAATACAACTTTTGCGCATAAGAATCTTTGAATTAATACAAGGAAGCCTGTTATGATATTTAATACATATAATGCAAACTTATTACAGATCCTTTATTTTTGCTCTAAACGGACTAAAAATGAATAATTTGTGTAAATTATTAATAAATTACAATAACGATAGTAAACTGTGGTAGGACCCTTGCAGGTCCATCCGGGTAAGTACCACGACCTCACAGAAGACCGGCGTGAAGTGGAAGTGTTATAATTTTGCGTTTCGTCTGGCGAGTGAGGTAGCCGGGGCCCACTTTAATAAAAGTGTGCAATGCATCTGACACCCTACGGATGTTAAAACTGTCCATGGGCGGCGGCTATCACAAGAGGTTGATGGATGTGCAGTGAATTAAAATTAGCTTAAATTAGCAATGGTTCACATGTAGAGTGTCCTTAAATGTTTTATGAATTTTCATGCCAGAAATTTGACGTTATTTCTATATTGTTACGTCCACTGCATAGGTCATAGTAGTTAATAATAACATATTAAACTGTTTGAGCTAAGACCAACCAAAGATCTTTACGATAGACGACATCAAGTATCTCTGCTGAATATACATAAGCGCGCTTTTTATTACTTAATGACACCAGTAACCTCTGCTAAAGACTGGCATCGAAGTATATGAAGTGTTGTTAAATAATAGTTTTATTTTGAAAGTCCTCAATTGATGTGATGACTCCGTGGCGCAGTTGCCAAGGTATCGGCGTCGGGGGTCGTGGGTTCGATTCCCACACGGGACAACTATTTGTGTGACCCACAGATAGTTGTTTCGCATCTGGGTATTTGTCCACATGAAATTTATGTTTGTAAAACGTCCCTACGATACAGGATAATGTTATTCTAAAGTAAGGGAAATGTTTTCACAATAAATAAATAAAAAAAACATGTTATAGTGTTCTTAGTAATCATACTTAACTAAGCTTTGAAAACATTTTCGTAATAATATGACACACGGCAAGATATGGACGTCTTTTGTAATATTCATCTAAACTTGACGACCTGATTGGCGTAGTGGGTAGCGTACCTGCCTCCTGTGCCAGAAGGTGTGGGATCGCCACTACTGTAAAAATATTGTGTATTCATGAACATAGTGTTTTTCTAGTGTCTGGATGTTTATATGTGTATAATATGTATTTATTTACAAAAAAAGTATGTTTAATTATGTTTGTTTATCAGTTATCTAGTACACAAAGTACAAGCGTTGGGACTACAGAGCGTTGTGTAAACATGTGTCCTAAAAATATTTATATTTATTATATTTATAAATAAGTCTCTACCTTTTTAAATGCTGAGCGATTATTCGTGAATGGATTATAAAATTTGTGTTATAGTTTTAAGTTCAATATTATTGTAACGAATGTGTCAATTAAAAACTTACATTCAAATTAAGTGTGACAAAGAATTGTCTCCACAAGAACCATTCCCTACAACGATTTTACGAGACTCTAACGAAAGTTCCAAATAACACGAAAAACCAATCAAGTTTAATGCAGGAAGGAACGTGTCAATTAATAAATAACAAGTTATGTCACGTAAGGTGAGCAAGGCGAATCCGTACGTGATTTTATTCGCCTACTCTACCATGCATTTTTGATTGCGTTAACAATGCAAGCAAAAAAATGGCAAACTAAGCTGAATATGGATGCAAAAGGCCTTTGTTGTATTGTCATCGAAATGAAGAATGGCAAATAAGGAAGCTCTTCTTGAGGATAACCCCCCCCCCCCCCCCCCCCCCCCCCCCCCCCATTCAATTTTTATGTATGTTTATGTTTGCAACCCTTAAGAATATAACAACCACAAGTAGGTAAATCAGAAAATGCTGCGGGGTTGCACCACAGTAAATATGCAATAATTTACCGTGCAATAAGCTGTTGTAAGAATAAATAAGTTTAAGGTTTAATGTTTTGGGTTCCGTACCCGAAGGGTAAAACAGGAGCCTATTAGTAAAGCTCCGCTGTCTGCCTGTGCTGTCTATCAAAGGGCTGTATCTCGTCAACCGTGATAGTTAGTTAAAATTTTCACAGATGATGTATTTCTGTTGCCAATATAACAACGAATACTAAAAAATTTTTAGGACACATTTTTAAACAACGTTCTCTGGTCCCAAGGTAAGCAACGCTTGTACTATGGGTACCAAATAACTGGTAAACATACATTTATTTTGTAAATAAATACATATTATACATATATAAACACCCAGACACTAAAAAATACTATATTCATCATACAATATTTTTCCTGTAGTGGGGATCGAACCCACACCCTCTGGCACGGGAGGCAGGTTCACTACCCACTACGCCATTGGAGTCGAAAAGGTTTAGGTAGGTTAAGTGGGGTTTCCATACAACAGACACGATGTTTTTTGCCGTTTTTGTAGATAATGGTACGGAACCCTCCGTGTGCGAGACCGAATCGCACTTGACTGTTTTTTATCACTTTTAGTGCAAGTCTCCACCTCAATGTGGAAGAAGCAGAGTCCCGCAGCGCCGAAAATGTTTGTTGATTTATCTACAAACTTAAAGTATAGTTCAAAGACAATTACCTCCATATAAGCCTCGCAGCTGTTGCTACCTACGTATTGCGTTCGAAAGTGGGTTCAAATCTATGTTTCTACAGAATGTATGTGTATTTATATATATATATATATATATATATATATATATATATATATATTTATAGTACTAGGTATTTGTTATTACATAGATATGTATTATATTCGATGATTTTATTTTTCTACATATATATTAATGTAATTATTTTTGCACTATTATCCCGCAACTTTATTATCTAATCCTATACCCTAAGGTTGCCTGGAAGAAATTGCTACCTTAGCAATAAGGCCGCCTGTATGTACACTATCTTTCCGATATTTTCTTCCTTGTATTTCCTTGTGTGCAATAAAGTATATTCAATCAATCAAGTTTCTTTTGAACAGTTTTCATTTTCTGCTCTATTTATACCATACTCTTAATTTATTACTGCTTAATCGCTTGGATTTTTATTTAATTTCATATTTATTTTCATCATTGTGTCAAAACGATGCTACTTTAAGTATATTTCAAAAGCAAACTTAAATTGTGAAAGCCTATCCGTATCGTATTTATCAGATTATAAAACGTAGTACAGATAACACAGATAACACAGTTCAATAAAGTAAAAAAAAGAAAAAACAAAATGTGTTATGTAGTTTTTAAGGCTTGCTTATTTTACACGACCCAAAAAAGGAATGCCGACGAGACAACTTTCAAATTTATACAAACGTCTTCGTGTACTAAAGGATATACAATATTAGACAATTAACGAATATTAAAAAGTAAAGAAACTTAAAAAATTAGTTTAATTAATTTAATTTTATTTAAATTAATTATTATTTAGTTTTTATTGAGAACTATTTAAATCTATCAGTTGTTGCTAAACCTTATAATGGCCACGTTGCAAAAGTTTGAAAACAAAATTTAATCGGTTGCAATTTACGTAATTTACAATTTGTTGTAATTGGACTTAATTGATGTATAGAAGCAAATTGCATTCCAGAATTAGAACATTAGAGTTCATTTTGCACATTTGCGGTTAGAGTTATTTTGATAACTTATCTATAGTAGAGTACGCTATAGCACTCGAGTTAAGCACAAGCTTTTGAAGGTGTGTTCCTCGCCGTCGTACGTGCTATGTCGAGGGTTGTACGCTATTCGCAAACAAAAGTTTGAAATCGAGTAAAGCGTAATATTTATTTTGCGTAATTGATAAAATTTCACAATTGTTTATGAATCCTCAGACTGTTCAGATTATTAGCAACAAAACGTATAAAAATTCGTCTTAGTTGCGAACACTCTTTGTTGTTCAAAAAAGATCTCCCGCTTCGCATAAAATATGAAAAAGAACTTACGTTGCTAAGGACTAAAGCTGGGGCGACGACAGATATCCGAAACGGATGGAGCGAATTAAAAAACGGCGTATTCGTTAATCACCATCAAGTTATGTGAACACTGTATGATCAACTTCGTAAATTGTTTACATTCAAAATTTTATTCCACTTGTATTCTATACAGAGATCAGTTCGCAACTGAATGGGCTGACCATTTGGAACACATTGGCGGCACTTATAAATTGCAATGGTTCTTATTACACGCTCATTAAGAGAAGTACAGCTTTAACACGCTGCACCAAAGTCGATATTCGTTTGATGATGTACTCATTGGAACCATGTCTAAATAAGAACGGATATTGAGGTCAGTGACGTCTTTTTTCCGTGGTAGTGATAATAACAGAACTGATTTGTACAAGCGAGACAGGTTTCTGAACCTGCCTGTAAGTAAGAAAAGGATGTACGATTTGTAATGGTGCTTGTTGTCTGTGGTTAGTCCCATTTGGCTCCAATTTCTGTCAATTGTTGACAATTAATAAAGTTCGGAAACTAGTTTGAGATCCCTTATGACTAGAAATGTATTTATGGAAAGTAATTTACTATCTTGTTTTACTTTTGTCATACCAAAACTTTAAACTGTGTTATAAATAAAAATAATGTTGCCATAATTAATTAATTAATTTACTTATTAGTTTCACCTTTAAAAAAAACTGTACTCTTGTATATTTTTGGATAGTTTAGTATATTATTTAGTAAATAATATATTTTTGACCAATATTAAAACATTTCTGAAAAACATATCAATAGCGGCTTCTTTAAAATTTTAGTAAAACGTCTATAAAATTTGTTTTAACTATCATTTTATGTCTGTACATATTATTTACTTAATATTTGTGTTTGTTGTTTATCAATTAATTATTAGTCAATTTAATGTTTTTATATATTTATTTATACAACGTAAGAAATATACTACAAAATATACGTAATACATACACACACACACACACATATATATATATATATATATATATCATCTTTTTGGCAACTAAAATGAAATTTGAAAAGGCATTTGACAGGTGATTAGTTGACATAAGATGATCTGTATTTCAGAAACCGCGCGAAAGAGTGGTAATTCTGCAACCCGAGTTCAATCCCCGGTGCCGGCAGCAATGAAGTTGTTAATTCCAAGTGCTGAATTATCACGTGCCCAGCGCTGAAAGAAAACTTCGTGAGGAAACCTGCATTTTTCGAAATAATAACAAAAAAATATTTCGAAGATTTATGTGAAGTCCACCAATCTAGACTATGCCTCTGTACAGACGAGGCCAGCAGTTGGACATGTATAGGATAATACTGTACTATTTTTGACTCCAATTTTGTAGAATGTTTCCTATTAATCATTGCCTAGCTCCCTTTCACGACAAATTCTTTCCCTTTTAGAAGTAAAACCCCTAGTGTGAAGGTTGAAATCGGTATTATTCATTGAAAACTTTAATAACTGTTGAAGTCAAGGAAATTACTTAATTCATAAAAGTATTCTTACATTGTTTCAAATTACCGGGGTATATGGATTTTTATCTAGCTAGGTGTTAGGCGATTCTAGCTGTATTGGGTTTGTTTACAGTTTTCTTCGGTCTCCCTTGAATCTTCGCAATGATTGTTGGTGGCGATGCTGGGGTCAGTACTGGCGGCTCGGTAGGGGGTAGCAGGTTCGTGGGAGGAGTTAAAAACTGAAAACAAGAATGATGAAGTGTCTGTGATAGTGATTACTATTTTCTTATGCAGAATTTCGAATAAATTTTCGTTTGTCTTAGTCTTACGGCCGCTTTGAATATTCTATCTACAGATAGATTTGGTTACTGGAGTTTTGATTTGATTTGTTTGATGGAATTTTGACGTAAGTATTATGGAGCTAATGTCAAATACGTATAGCTAGTAGCCAAATCTAAATGTATATTGAATATTGAAACCGGCCGTAAGAGTGTAATTGGCAAACTGTGTTTCTTATTTACTTTGCGTAGGAATAATTTTTAAATAATTAATAATGAATGGGTTATAAGAAGTTTCAACAGAAAATAATATAAGATGACACGTTTACATGTTATTTTATTAAAATAAATTAATTTACGGTTCAATTTTGGCGTATATTTTTAGTAAATACCAAAACTGGTGTTTACTAAAGACACTGTTTACTAAAAACTTTTTTTGTGTTTTAGTTTACCAACGACAGTATCTGGACATATCTTTTAATTATAATATCAAACACAATTTTGTATCTACAAAATATGTCAAAAATATCTTCAGAATAAGCATTTCTCCGTAATCTTCTAGAGTTCTTGATAATGGTGACGCAATGGACAGATATGAGACGATAATACGTACAGACATATTGGCGTTTAACAAACAAACGTTACTAATAGGAACTGTCACAAATTTTTTTTGATATTATAATTAAAAATATATGTCTAGATACTGTCGTTGGGAAAGCTTGAACCGACTGCTAAACTGAACCGTAAATTAATTTAATTTAATAAAATAACATGTAAACTAATCACTTTACATTTGAATTTTCAACTGAGCGGGGATACTAACAGAATAATTAACTACCGTTTGTAACCAATTTCCAGTCACAGGTCTGCTGGAAGAAATTTCTTAAGAAATAAGCAGGCCTTTGTACAAATTCTTTCATGTATTTACATTTGTGTTATAATTCTCTGTGTACATAAATTATAAATAATTAAAAATAATTACAAGGTCCCGAGTTATATATCTTCACTATATGTAACATATCATTATCATATAAAATATCTAGCTGTCTATCTGGCGATATCTAAACCATTAGCATAATCATCTTATGAATCTTAAATTAAAACGAATTTGGTACGATCTTTTATAATAACAAATACTATCCATAAAATAGCCTTGACACTAGTTTGCACATTTTATGTTTCATTAAATTCCGAATGAGACACAATATGGTCACATCATAATTACTTTCATTTAGACTCGATCTAAGTTACACATACATTATTTCCTTCATTCCTTCAGTACCTGAACATTCCTTAGGTCTTACTAAACTCACTTGGCAATCGTTTCTTCGTTGGTAAACCGTTGCGCTCCATTATCGTAAGGCACTTTGACTATTTATTCCCGAAGTCGCTACACACTTTAATCGATCAAAGAGTAAATGGCCGTTCTAGGGACTACTACATCGACATGTCTTTAAGTTCGAAATGCTGTAGCTTATATACAATAAATAGGGGGTTTCCTGACAAATGAGAGCTTACTAGAAACAGCGGGGGCGGATTTCCATTTATATTCAGTGCCTGCATAATATTTTGAATTTCTTTTCTTTTTAAATATAATTATTATATATTCATTCTTAATACTAATGTATTAGTATTCAGTGACAATTTGAGAGGAGAGCACCGTTTTATTTAAAATTATTTTAGCGCTGTCATACGGAAATAGGAATATTAATATTTAATCTTATTTTCAATATAAATACATACTTACTATTTATTTGTGCACGATGGCCGACTTATCGCCTGTCACGTTTGGGCCTTAAGTTATTTACTTATCTATTATCCGTAAAATTTTTAACGAGTATTTTACACGCATTTTTACTGAAAAAAAAAATTGAAACCGACAATAAAAATTGCATATCAACTTGGAAAGAGACGATCGGGTTATTTCGGCTGCGTAGAGCGTTATCTCTGTCGCACAATTATACAATTAATGAAAAATGGCACATAGGTAACGTATGGCAGAGATAACGCTATTCCAAACCCTCTCTTTCCATAGGTTATCTCTTCCCAAAGTTCGATGCGGAATATTTTCCGGCGAGTACTATAATGGCTATTTGCATACATAATTATATACCGAGTTTTTTTACTATCGTTATCACACATTTGTTAAACACAGTATTTATGGATTGAACAAAGCAAATCATTCCTTTTCACTATCGTGTCATTTGAAATTTTGCAGTTTAAATTATTTGTTACATATGCATGTAACGCTGATGCTTAAAAACATTTCCGCTCCTCCTATGAATGTAACCACACCCTGGTAGTGAATAACTTTTAGCGGTTAACTTTTCAGGGATTCCCCGATAGAGCTGTGGGCAGCGCCTTCCTTGCAAGTTAGGCAGGACCTTTTAATAAATTTTTAGACACACGATGTCATTGACAGAGTCATTTGATTCAATTTTACTGTAGTTTAGTGAATAATAAGTATTGAACATAAATTCAAAAGAACTCAAAAAAAAAGATTTTACTTTCTATTCATTAATTTCATCAATCAATGATTCCTTCAATTATGTATCATAACAGTAATCTTCAGCAGAAACAGTCATTACACCGTACCAATTATCTGCAATTACGCAATACACTAAACTTCAAGGTTTCTGATAAGAAATTAATTTACTTACTCAGAATTTCCCTTTGAATAGATAACATAGAGTAAAATACAAACAGCACAAGTATACCTAAATAAAATTTCCATTAATCTTCGGGAGAAAACATAAAATTTTATAATATTACTTATAATATCTACAAAATTAAAGTTTCGTTAATATCCTTACGTTATTCTAAGAAATAGTTAATTATTTAGATTGACGAAATTCTTTAAAGTATTTAATTTCAGGCTTTTCATGTTTATCATCTTCACCATCATTTCAGCCTGTTAGAGTCCACTGATGAACATCGGCCTCTTTCACAGACTGCCACGTAGCACGGTGCTTAACATCGGCCTCCCCCATGCCACGAAACACGATCCTGAGCCACCTGCATCCATTCCCGCAAATTTGCACAGGTCACTCTATCCAGTGGGGGTGTCTAACACTGCGATGGTCAGTACGAAGGTGCTAATCAAGAACCTTTCTTTCTAATCGGTTATAGGTCCTAAGAGCATCATAATCCCGTTAGGCAAATACAAAAATCAAAGGAAAGTAATGAAATAATGGTGGTGGTTACATTCCGTTTAAAGAAACCAACAACAACTACATTACTTATATTCACAGCGGAATGTATGTTGCTTTATTGTTTTTTTTTATATATCAGACGCAGCATTTAGTGCGAATTCACTATTGTGAGACTATCGGTCCACACCACTTACCCTTTGCTTAAGGAGGCGAGAACGCATCAAAGGTGCCGCGCCGGCGAAACTTGCCGCACATATTGTCCGGTTAACTTGGAACTAAGTTCGCCCCATCCGGACTGCTGTCGGCAAGATTATGACGCACGGACGGACAAACCCGCGCCGCCGGACAAAGTTCTGGCCGCCGGACAATGTCGTGTCTTGTGCGGCACTCCAGAAGACGCCGATAGCCATTGTCTACGCCCGCTCTAATATAGTTGTTTGTCGGTGAAAACGCGCGGGTACTTCCCCGTAACGCACAATGGCTTCAGACGTGTTAAGTCTCACGTTTAGATTCAACGATATCATATACAAAGATATGACACTGGCGCACCGAAATTGAGGCACTCATATTACACAAATTGGTGTAATTAAATTGCAACTCTATAGACCGCTATCTCTTTCAGTGTTGTACGTTCTATATCATCTGTCTCATTCACTTATATATGTCATATAATGTAAGGGGAACAATTTTCATGCCTTATTACTTATCGCCGCGCAATATGAACATGCGTTGTATATGTCATTAAACATTGTTTACAGTTATTTAAGCAATAGAATGATAAAGTGTAAATGACTAAAAACTATGATAGAAATAAATAATATTTTTGTTATAGTTTTTAGCTTTGGCAAGGCCACGCAGTAGCTTTTAGTGTTGCACGAATGGGCAGACTCATCCGGGCGGAGGTAACCGGTCTCAATTGTTTCGTTACAACCTGATGAATGCTGCGAACATATGACAAACATACTAACAATAAGTAATTGTATTACAAAAAAAGAAAAAGTAATGATTAAGGGTCTATATAATAAAAATTTAAGTAAGTTTATATAAAAGAGGAATGACATCATTTTATTTATGATCGTAACTAAATGCTGGTCAGTTCCAACAAACCTAACTTTAGGTACTCTGTGTACATGTATTTCATGGTGATACTTCTTTAATCAGTTTATTATAAATGCGTTGGTTCGATCTTAGTTTAGATTTTTAAATTTTTATTAATTTGGATTTAGTTAATTTCTAACTCGTTACAAATCCCTTGACCGATTCAGTGTAAGCTTAATACTGACGTCGCCTGGAACTTTACGAAAGGCAATATCTTTTTTGAAACATTTTGCTGACTGTTTCCAGCAAGTGAACATGTGAAATCGTTTCATTAAATTTCGCACTTTAACTGAACTTCTCGGTTATTCCAGAATTTGCCTCCTAACGGACGTCTATTAAGACATTATTCACTTTAAAGCGGAATCGAGAGGTTTTCAGTTGAAAATGAAAAATTGACTCGTGGGGGAAGACCCTTCTCGTTATGACGTCACGTAGCCGACCAATTTACCACCCCATTAGTATCGGAACAGCGATCGGGCCGAAGAAAGGGGTGAAAAAACGTAATCGAGCCTTTCGCCAGCCGATTTTCTAACGGAATAAGAATTAGGCGGGCATTCGAGTTTGATCAATTTACATATTAATGCAGCCATTGGCACACTTTATTTTCCGTTCGAGTTTTTTCCCTTTCATATTTTTTCTTCGTAAGTTCTCGCCGGTGACTTACTTGAGATGGGAATTATGCACCCATCATTTTCCTCATTTTTCAAGCCATTCAACTAACTTAAAACAAGCCCCAATACTGAACCTTTTAGAACACATATCACTCTCACAGCTAAGAAGAATCTAATAGCATCTCATATGAAAAAATCCATTAAATATCATATTAGACTATGGAACATGCTAAAGAAAGAGTCGTACATCTGTACGACACAGCGACTTGAATGACTTGCAACAAATGGTGCATTCAAACACCTAATTAAATGTCTGGATGTCGATCAATTAATTGACTCTGCGCAGTTGCCAAGGTATTGGCTTCCGTGTTCGTGGATTCGATTCCCACCGGAGATAACTATTTGTTTGACCCACAGATAATTGTTTCGGTTCTGGGTGTTTGTCCACGTGACATTTATGTATGTAAAACGTCCTTAGCAAAAGGGAATAATGTCATCCTATAGTAAGGGGCGATGTTTTAAGAAAAGACCAATGTGTCCAATGACGCCGAATTTTTTTTTAAATTTTCCGATCTCATAACGTATTTCTTTTATGTTTATATTTATAAATGTAATGTCTCAAAATTTCAAGATCTGGTGTGACAGAGACTCTCGGGAGGTGACCGCCAATCATTTCGTTTATTTTTTTTTTATTACAAAAATATGAACATATAAATAAAGAAAGAAGAAGAAAGAAAATAAATTTATTTACCAACATAGGTTGACGCGCTTGTTCGCATGGAGCTATTAAAGCAATAGCATAATTTCATGTAGGCGGAAGAGGTAGGACATGGTGGAAGGATAAGAACGTACCGTCGTCGGTACGTATAATCGGAGAAAGTGCACGGGGCCATCAAGCAGCGAGGTGTGGACAATAAAACGGCAACAAACCGACTGATGGTGGGTCGGCAGTGCTGTCAACATTAAGGCGCCTTCACACGCGACGAATCTTCGAATTGAAATCTAAGATTTCCCTCGTTCAAACGAGTCATTGCTGGGTGAAATAATTTAGTGGACTCTACGATTTTATTATCACTCAAGTAATCTGTCTGAATAACTAACTTGAAGTTAGCTAGTATATTGCAACATGTTTTCTAACTCAAATCATTTCATTTTCAGCGTAATTTCATTGAACCGTGGGAATAAGAGTGACGATATTGGCTTATCATTGCTTATCTAGTAGTGGACAGCTAGTAACTTCCGCTGGAGATTCAATATCATCAATATAATATAACAGAATTGTAAATATGGATCGTACAAACTGATGTAAAACTCACGACATAATACTGCGGGGTGAGCAGCGACGACAGTATGCCGCCGCTATGCTCCTACGGGCCTGACGTTACATGTAACTAAATTAAATTGACAAAAAAAGTCTGTAGGATGTGAACAGCCTTACGGCGGGAAGCTGCCGCATTGATAGGAGGCATAAAATCACTGAGTACGTTCGGCA